ATTTCAAATTCGGTAAGTAGGACTTTTCAGAACATATAGCACTTTCAGTCAGATACTTTTCAGTTGGAAACATTCCACTTTACACGCCGCCGCTGCCAATATTCTCACTTGATTTGCACTCGCGCTTGTGACTGATGATGGTATTTCACTTCAAACCGGAAAGAGCAAGGACTTGGGTCCTTAGCCATTTTTTCTTTGACTTGCACTTCGGCATTGCAGCAGACAATGGCCGACTTTGACAAGAACAGTCCGGAGACCAACTTTCCAACAGCATCGCCAACGTGCATCATTTTTTCAGACTGTCATGGTTGGGTTGACCCTCAGACCTTCACCAGAGCATTGGATCAGGGACTTCAACTGGAGCAGATTTGGCGGTTTGGTCAGGACTTTGTGCAACTTGCTCATCTTCTGCATTCGTTCCAGGATAGAGCCAAGGCGACCTTGAGCCCTGGGCGAGCTCATGCAGTTTGAGCTTGAGTACTTTTCCGCAGTCTTTGTCACTTTGCTCCATCCCAAGCTACTTCCATCAGTGGGGAACTTTCTGCCAGAAGCATTCTGCAAGTTTATGTCGTGGATCACTTTGCCACTTTCTCTGTGGAATCACATCATGGGCAGACTTCGACGCACGGGCATTCTGACTTTCACTGCATCAGAAACTCAGTGGACGGGTTCATTTTTGAACTTTGTCATGTCGCCACGTTCAGCCATTTTGTTCTACATTTTCAATCATGGCTACAGTCGACACTCTGGACTTTCAATTCCCCAGATCAAGGAGAACTTCATTACTTGCGGGTTCAGGCCATCAAAGCGAGACTTGGCTACTTTCCTGGAGAAGATTTGGAACAGGTACTATTCTACTTGATGAAGGGTGGTACGTTTTCGACCTCTGACCTAGTGACGCTTCAGCCAATCACTTTGATCAACGCAAAGATCGACTTTCCAATTGAGCGCGCTGTGAACCAGCGAGAAGTGGAACTTCGCCGGACAGACTTGTGGGGAAATCTGACGCACATCCACATGAACCCTTTGTGGCATGAGCAGGTGGGTAAACTTTCAAATGAACTCACCATGCCATTGGACTTTTTGTACTGGCGTGCCAGGCCCAAACCTTGAACAGCTTTTGCATGTGAGAAGAGCTTCGCACAGAACTTTGGTTGAACTGTTGATGGATTAAGACATGAGAGCTTTCCATCAAAAACAGGAGTGACTTTTCAAGGCGACTTCAGTGGCGCCCGCGTCAGGACTTTGATGCCAAAACATGCTCCTGTGAGTTCCCACTTTTTTCACTCACTTTTGTGTGCGTACACCACGAGGAAAACAACTTTTGCAGATCAAACATTTGTCGCGTTGTGTGTACAGACTTTAGTGTTGTCTACATTCAAACTTTGAATGTGTCCAAGGGGGCGTGTCACATATACACTTTTCCCCCATGCCTATGTCATGATACGACTGCCACTTTGGTGGCTCAAGCATGCACCTGAGGAAAAGGTGCTGAGTCACTTCGCATACTTTGGTTTGTGAGAGTCCTTGGAACTTTCCATTGTGTGATTAGCCATGTGTTGGAAGCATCACCGGGTGTGTCGCGTTAGTGACTATCCCGTGATGTTTGGCTCAAGTTCGCATCCGTCGCGACCTCGGACCCCACGTCGATCACCCACGTGTCGGACACGCGTCGGAGGAGAAAGAGACTTCGGCCCGGGGCAGGTTGGCGGGTAGTGCTCGTGCGGTTCATCGTCAACCCTGGTTGCGGGTATCCTTTTCTCTTTCGGTTTGGATTGTGGTTGTTTTGTGTGGGAAACCCTGATGTTTGGGACAGGGGATAGGTTACTGTTTTGGGGTCTTTCTTTTTTGGCTTGTTTACCCCAACTGATCCAATTGTCTGGGCACAGGTCCGTGCCCGAATCACAGGTTGTCAGCCGTCTTTCCTGCGTGCTTGTGACCTACGAGCTCAATGACCAGGCGCGTCGTGGATGAGGAGGCCATGCTAGATGGCCCCCAACTCGGTCAAGGTATGCCGGACTTCGTCTACAAGGATTTTGAGCAGAGTTTGGCGCATGGCTGATTCTCCCGATAGGGACACTCCTTGCGGGCGCGGCAGGTTTGTGGACGACGGTGATGGTCGATTGTTCCGTCACGTCAGGAAACTGATGACGAGCAATGCTCGCTCCGATAGGGGCGGCTGCGCGTCAGGACGAACATTGGAAGGCCGACCGTCCGGAGATTTTGAGGAGTTTCGAAGGCTCTGAGCTGGTCAGAGCAGAGCTGAGGTCATCGAAGAGGACACCAGTCAAGGACGGCAATGTCAGGGTCAGTTGATGCAGGCTCGGGCGATAGCCTGCGCCGCCATGTTGAAATTCAGTCGGCGACGGGTGCTTCATGCGGGCGGCGGGTCTTCCGTTAGGAAGCTCACTTGGCACAACTTGTGCTTGTCGTTCTACATCCCCACCGCCTACCTGATTCCCCTCTACCCCAATCACCGAAGGGATGAGGAGATCGTGGGTAGACGCAGGCTGACGAAGATTTGGGATTTCCTGAAGCATGCGTTTCAATACAATGAGGTGCAATGGCTGAAGGATGCCGTTGAGAGGGTGAAGCAGGCCATGGAGGAAGGTAGGGCGGATGCGCCTTTGATGAAGGCCCTCGCATCTACGTCGGTGAGCAGCGCGTGAGGATGGTCATCGATGGGGCTCAGCGAAAGCTGGAGTGGGCGTGGATCAGCTTCAGCCCATCCATGACACTGAGAAGGCTCCCAACCCTGAGGCGAAGTGAGGCAGGACGGAGGCTGATGCATGCTGGCAAGGCCAGGAAAGGAAAGCCAGGTCAAAAGGGAGGCAAGGGCGTTAGTCCCAGCCACCTGGTCAAGGTAAGGGCAGAAAGATGGAAAGGAGGGCAAGGGCGTTAGCCGTAACTGCTCCCAAGCCCAATGAAGCTTGTAGGTCAAGCAGGAGTTCACGTTCTGTTCGGTGTCTTGAGGAAGGTAACAGTGTGGCTGCGCTGGATGTGATCAATTGGATCATGGAGAGGGGTGATGCCACGAGTTCAAGGCCGGTGTCGATAGGTTCCTGGAGGATGTTTGACTCGAAGGACTCTCGAAGGCCGCGGAGGCGCAGCTGCCGACCTTGGAAGGATGATGGGACGATCGGAGGGGTCGCGCGATGTCCTGTCAAGTCAGGGAGCGGTGGCGAGAGGCTCGGAGGAGGTCGGGCCGGACGTGACAGGAGGAGGCGTGATGTTGCAAGAGGGGCGGCCAATAGGCTCAATCCTCCTGTGACAGTCAACGCTGGGTGATGCCCAACCCGCGCCGCTGAGGCGTGTCGATCATGCTCCTTCCGAACCGCAGCTGGGCTGCTGGTGAAGATGACTCTGAAGTTGTGCGAGTGAGAGGGGATGTGGATAAGTGGAGGTTACTCCCATTGCACTAAATTAGTATAGCTTTTGGGTGACACGTGGTAGGAAGCACATCTTGCCGATAGGCGAGGGTGCTTTCATTCAACATTTGTTGAACACCTACATGGCTTCTGATAAGAATAAAACTCGCATCTCTGATGCAAACAGTAGTGACCTATCGTCGTTACGTGGACCTTTTAACTGGGTATGTTGGACAGCGTTACCCCAATTCATTCGGGATGGTGGCGGGAATTTAGTCCCCGGGATGTCGCGCAACTGACTATGTGGGTTGGCTCCACCGCTGATGGCGGTAGTCCTGCTGTTTGTGAGCTTCAATTCCTATCAGTAAACGGCACGCTCCTGATTAGCCATGTGTTGGAAGATCATGTTTGGCTCAAGTTCGGATCCGTCGCAACCTCGGATGAGCGTCGCCGGGTCCCCACGTCGATCACCCACGTGTCGGAGGAGAAAGAGACTTTGGCCCGGGGCAGGTTGGCGGGGAGCTTGTGCGGTTCATCGTCAACCCTGGTTGCGGGTATCCTTTTCTCTTTTGGTTTGGTTTGTGGTTGTTTGGTCACTTGTGTGTGGGAAACCCTGATGTTTGGGACCGTGGATTGGTTACCGTTTTGGGGTCTTTCTTTTGTGGCTTGTTTACCCCAACTAATTCAATTGCCTGTGCACCGGTCCGTGCCGGAATCACAGTTTGTTTGTTTGTTTGTTTGTTTGTTTGTTTGTGTTTTTGTTTTGTTTGTTTGTTTGTTTGTCTGTCTGTCTGTTTGTGTTTTTGTCTGTGTGTCCGTTTGTCTGTTTGTCTGTTTGTCCGTTTGTATTTTTGTCTGTTTGTTTGTTTGTTTGTTTGTTTGCTTGTTGTTTGTGCTATAGTCTGTTTGTCTGTTTGTTTGTTTGTTTGCTTGTTTGTGCTTTAGTCTGCTTGTCTGTTTGTCGCTCGTCTGTTCGTCTATTCATGTGTTGGTCTGTCTTTCGGTTTTTCTGTTCGTGTGTTAGTCTGGTAGTCGGTTTGTTTTTGCGTGTGTTTGTTTGCTTATGTGTTCATGTGTTAGTCTGCTGTCTGTTTGTCAGTGTGTCCGAGTGTGTGTCGTCTGTGTGTCCGTGTGTCTGTGTCTGTGTGTCTGTGTCTGTGTGTCTGTCTGGCCGGCTGGCAGTCTATCTGCCAGCTTGCCAGCTTGCCAGCTTGCCAGCTTGCCAGCTTGCCAGCTTGCCAGCTTGCCAGTTTGCCAGCTTTCCAGCTTGCTTGCTTGCTTCCTTGCTTGCTTGTTTGCTTGCTTGCGTGCGTGCGTGCGTGCGTGCTTGCGTGCCTGCGTTCTTGCGTGCTTGCTTGCCAGCCTTGATGCTGTCTTTGTTTGTTGGTTGGCTGGTTTGTTTTCCTTCCTTCCTTCCTTCCTTCCTTCCTTCCTTCCCTTCTTTGTTCCTGTTGTCTGTCTTCCCCAACGTTGACAGATATGGGACGGTCTTGGGGCGGCCCAGGTTGTGTGAGGTTCAAGCTATTGAGAGGTGAATTCGGGTGCAACAGATTGAGATCACTTTGATGGATGCTAGCCTGGCCGGTGTTTGCATGCGCGCATCAGGCGATTTGAACACTCGGGAATGGTGAGGTCGAACGAAACGGACGTGGTGGCAGTGGAGCGGGATGCAGTCCTCAGATTTGCGAGGCTGGAGTCATAAGAGCCACGTGAGCCTCATGTGAGGCTTGGTCGTTGAGCATGAGACGGCTTCACGCGACTGCATCAGTAGCACTATCAGTAGCCCCATCAGTAGCCTTGGGGCTTGCAGGCTTTGCGAGGCTGCAGGGATCCCACACCTGTCGCTGCTGAGTTCGGCGTGCTGCCAAGGTCAATTCTGTCAAATCTCATGGGCCTTGGGCTCCGGGTTCATGGCGAGCTTTGTGCAAGGCCTGGGCCGATCCCAGCCGAGCCCTGCCATTTGCTCGTGTACAAGGCCAGTGAGGTTTGTTCCATGGTGACCAATGGGACTAGTAGCATCTAGTAGCACTGGTTTGGTAGCACTAGTGGCGCCCAGTCAGGTGAGACCGTGGAGGCGGGAAAGGGTCGCAGGGCTGCTGGCCGTTTGACTGAGCTGAGTCACTGAGTGCAGGCTGTGGCCGCTATGAGCTTCGCGCGGATTTCTGTTTTCCGACCGTCAGCTGCACTAGGCTGGCCTTGAGATCTTGAGACGAAAGGGTACCCTGTTTTTCGGGTAAGTTTCAACGGGAGAGCAAAAGGAAACCAAAGCCAACTTGGGGGACACTCACACCACCTCTGAGAAGTTTCGACGCTGATAGGTCCTGACGGGCGTCTCGAGCCTGGCTCAGGCTTCCTGGCCGGAGTCTCAGACCATCAGCGTACAGTCACAGCAATCTGGATCTCGTCAGGCTAACGCATTGTGGCAGTCGGTACCGGTGGCTGCGCAGTGACCCAGCTTCATTAAACAGCAAGATCCACAAAGCAAACCATTTGCAGTCAGGTTTTTGCCAAATCGCTATCGCCCAATGGCCTGGTGCCAAGTGGCATAGTCCCAGTCAGAATGTGCACCAGCTTCGGTCTTTCCAGGCGCTTGACGATATTGTTTTAGCAATGCGGCTGAACGTCGAGCTTTGTGATGCCTCAGAGCGAGTGGAGATGATGGACTACAGGCACTTGTGTTTTGCACAGCCACATTTGAATCGCGTTTGTTTGCTGGCCTGGCATTTCACCACCACTGTCAGGGATATGATGATGGTCATCGGAAAGGCTGCTGACATTTGAGCCCAGCGGGGCCAACGTCGCGACCAGCCGAGCCAAAGGAATGATACAGGAGAGCTGTGACATGACAGACTCGCGGAGATGGGCAAAAGGACTGTGATGGTTGGCGGCGCATGATGGTTGGTGACTGCGCATCTGATTTGCGCTCTGAACGCTTGTAAATCAGGGCTTTCGAAGCAATGTGCTAATGCTAGCTGTGAGGCCTGCGGATGTCTATGAAGAGAGAGGCTTGACAAAGTCACTGCATCCCTTTCTAGCTGAGCACAGCGGCAGGGACTGACGAAGGATGTGCTGAAGCGCGGCCCTTGGTCAAATTATGGGCTGCAGAGCAGCATGGCCCGTTTGCCGGTCATATTTATCCCGCCTGCAAGGGAACCGACGGTGAGATCGCTTTGCATGGATTGCTTTATTTTCCCTACTGATTCAAGCCGGACTTGCTTTGGTGAACACATATGATTTCTGTTAAAACCCTCTAGGCCCCGTGCCGAAATTGGGTAGCAGTTCTGAGGTCCTTGTTGGTGTTGCTTCCCAAGTTCCATTGATTGCCATTTGGCTCAAGACACAATTGAGGTTCAAGATCTGATGTGTGACTGCGGGTATCCGTGATTGGCATTAGGAGGAAAACAACTGCTTGCGCCGCACTGTCAGGACTACTGTTGTGACTATCATTCCTTCTTCCTTACAACGTTTACACGGGTTCGGCTATAACGGCATCGTCCGTATACACCTTTCTACGTGGTTGGTATTAAAGCTTGAGGGTTCGGTGCACAGCGTCCCACGGGACGTCACCTTGCCGTCTCTTGACAGGTTATCAGCCGTAACTACAAGCTCTACACTGGACTGGGAGACAGCTGGTTTATTGCGGGTACAGGGACAATAAAGGAACGATAACCTACACAGTACAATGGCGTCTTCGGCGAGCCCAAGTACTGCAACTTTTGGGAACAGCAGCTCAGAGGGATCCAATGGATTGATGGCTCTTCCTGCGGTGATGGATATGGTTGCAGATTCACAGGATGAACCTGGGAGCGGAGGTTCCGCGCTATTCAGCGACATATCTACTCCCACAAGATCATGGAAGCAGATCGATGTTCATCAGGAGTCGAAGAAAAGAGAATCCCCACCGAGAAGATCATCATCTTCGCCTGCGACACCACGGACGTCGCAGAAGGGCGTGAGATCGACATCGAAGGGTGGGAGGTCAAAATCACCCACCAGTGCAGATTTTCGCGCCGTGATCAAAGAGAAGAATAAGATGGAGGTGGAGATCGGGGAATATCAGAAGACACTTGATGAAATGTCGGCAGCAATGGCGAATCTTAACCAAGAAGACTATGGAAGCACCATCCGGATCCAGGAGCTGGAAAGACGATGCGAGATTGCCAGCAAGCAGTCGGGACATCTAGTGAGTCACCACCAACACCACATGGCTGAGGCATGGCGCAAGTTTGAGGAAGAAGCCCAACAGATGCGCAAGGTGGAAATGAACGCATTTCAGTACGGGGAGAAGAAAGACATGGAGTCGAATATTATAATGCAACAGATGAGGCAAGCTGAAGGAACTATCATGGAGCAGAAGCGGGAGATTGCATTGATGAGATCCTACATGGCAAGCGAGAAGTCGGCCGCGCAGGAATCAGCTATACGTGCAAATCAGATACACCGTGAGGCTTCACAACAGATATCAGCTTATCAGCAACAGATCAGAGGCATAGAATCTTCTACATCTATCGAGAAGTTCAACGAGGAGGAGATGGTCCAAAGTCTGAAATCACAGTTGGAGCATGCACTCGTCAAGCGCCCCGAGACGTACTCTTTGGAGGACTCCAGGGAACAGCTGATGGCGAGGCTGAATGACGTTACAGTATTTGCGGAACAGGAATCGAAGAGAGCAGATTGCTTGCTTCGCGAAAAGGAAGAGATCGTCAAACAGTATGAGTCCGACGTGTCGATGAAGGACCAGATGATTGCTGTCGAAGGTGGTCATCGTCAGGATGCGATCTTGGAGTTAGCCCAGGTCAAAGAAGAGAAACAAGAGGAACGGTGCACGATGGACGAGAAGTCGAAGGAGGCTGAGTACTGGAGATTGACAGCTAAGGGAATGTACGATGAGTACCTCGAGGAGATGCATGAGCTTCAGGGACAACTGAAGGAAAGAGAGGCGACGCTCAAGCAAGAAGAGAGTTTTGTACGCCAACTCGATGCTGACAACGAGGAACTACGTGCACACAAGAAGCTGGAGATGCAGGAAGCCTCCAGCAGCAAAGATGGACATCGTGAACGAGCAGTAGTGAAACGCGCTGAGGGAGGAACCCAGGCTAATTCAAGTAGGATAGACAAGAAGGTGGCTGGGTTAATCCCGTCATCGTCTTCGAAACAAATCCCTAATTCGTCGCTGATGCCAGGTTCGATCCTCTTTCCGTCTTTCGGTGATCCAATGATCGATGTACACCTATCCCAGATGCAAGGGGTTGTTGGGCATGTCCCACAATCCACTACTACGACTGGTGGTGGTGATGGAGGGGGAAACAACGGTACTACGCCCCCATTGGATTACGGTGGATTCCCGCCCAATGGGAATGGGCAGGGAGCGGGTCGACGTCAGTTGAGCCTCGCTGGTGGCGGAGGAGGACCTCCGGATGATCCACCCGATGATGAGGATGAGGATGACGACGACGAAGGAGATGAGGAAGACGAGGAAGAAGAAGAGGAAGAAGACGATCGGACACGGAGGAGACGAAGGAGATCGAGAGATAACCGAGAGATCAAGAATGATCGACCGAGAATCTCGAGGAAAGAGGCCGAGAGAGTATCTATTCCGGCCTGGCCAAAGATCCATCAACTTGACACCTGGAAGATGCAACTGCTGATGAATGTTCTGAGCGCATGTGCAGATCCAGATACCGACGCATGGACGAAATGGCTGGAGCAGGCTCTTGGGTTGAACCCAGACCTGGATTTGCTTAGCGATTCAGGTGGCGACAGATTTGCTACGATAGATATTAAGATGGCCATGGGCATGCAGAACATGCTGAAACAAGCACCTGACGAAGCCAAGGACGTATACCTCGATGCTACACGACACTCTGAACTACGACATCAACAAGGGGTGATCGTGAAGGGACGAGAGTTGGTGGCATTAGTTATGCAATCATTCAGAACTTCCGATAGAACGGATCTTGTCTACCACATCGAGCATTTATTCAACCTTGACTTTCCTGGCGACAAGAACTTGGTCATGTTCAGGAACAAATGGTATGATTTGCTGCTGAAGATGAGGAGCGAGGACAGACCCAGTAAGCTGGCTCTCAGAGACATCCTTTACAGGAAGATCAAAGGGAGCAAGAAGATGGAGTTCGGCCTCAATGCCTACCATAGACTACCGGACAAGCATCCTCAGAAGACGTATGAATTCTTATTGGCGTTGATCGACTATCAGATCAAGGCAGATCGGGAAGACCTGATGCTCGACATGAAGGAGAAATCGGTCAAGTCGATGATGAAGTCAGGCGGGAAGGATGCGGCTCCAGCAACTGGCAAACAGGAGAACCAGGGTGGCAAGGGCAGAAAGGGGAAACCCGGTGGACCTGATGCCGCTCCTGTGCTCCCAAAAGCCAAGGCAAAGGGCCACGCTGGCAAGAACGGCAAGTCCGACGGTGCCAGCGACAGAGGCAAGAGTCCGGGCGGAAGCAAGGATAACCCCTGCTGGTACCACTTCAAATCGGCGAAGGGGTGCGTGAAAGGGAATGAATGCACTTTTTCCCACAGCAAGAAGACGGAGCACAAGTTGGAGAGTATGTCCAAGGGGAAAGGAAAGGGCAAATCCAAATCCAGATCATCGTCACCAAAGAGAGATGATGGAGCATGCTTCGCGTTTCAGAAGGGGAAGTGCGATAGGGGGAGCGCTTGTAAGTACAGACATGAGCTCATCAAGAACAATTCAGCTCCAGCAACGTCAAGTGACAAGACACAAGCCAAGTCGAAGGCTGCCGCCAAAGCCGCAGCGCCTGCCATTGTGAGGAGGGCCATCGCGATGCCTGCGATAGTCCTGAAGCAATCGGCTCCTGCGGGGAAGGTAAGCTTCAAGAAGGACGTTGATCATGTCGAACCGGACGAAGCCGAGACTATCTACCACGAGCACGATGACGACGTGATGAGCGAATCATCGAGATGGTCTGGCGAGTCCGAGATCCCCGAGAAAATGGTGTGGTTCAAGGAAGTGCTCGACGTCGACGAGAATGGGGAGATCACCTACCTCGAAGACGAGAGAAGGCAATGGGAACGAAAAGGAGAATGGTACGGTTATGAGGACAATGAGAATGAGCCTTATCAGTACGTGTACGTCGACGAGAAGAAGTTCAAAAGCAGTGATCATCGTGAATTATCAGCCTACCAAGTCCAACGATCATTGATACGTGCGAAGATACTGAGAGAAGTGGTGGATGATGTATATAAGAAGCACTACTTCCCGGTGACCAAGGAGAGCAGCATAATGTTCGAGTATGATCGGAACAAGGACGAGATCAAGGAATCGGCTGTCGACTGGAAGAAACAGCATGGTATGCCGAAGAACGTTTTCGCCATGTCAACGTGCATCAGCAAACGGGTGAAATGGTTGATGGACACCGGATGTGGTCATGATCTCATCGGAAGAGCCAAGGCGAAGAGCCTGGGTGTCGACATCGTGAAAGATGACGACGAGATCGTGTTCCAGACCGCGAATGGTTCCACTTCCACATCTGATGTGGCCAAGATAGTCGTGGACGAGTTGGACGAGACTGTCGAGCCGCATGTATTGGATGAGACACCCACGGTATTGTCAGTGGGGAGGAGATGCATGAAGATGGGTTATGCATTTCACTGGATGCCTGGTAAACTACCTTTCATGGTTACGCCAAAGCAGGGATTCGTGCACTTGCAGGTCAAGGACGACATCCCGTACCTAGTGAGTGATGGTAAACTTCGGAGTAACAGGCATCGCCCTACGATAGACGACCTCAAGG